AGGCCCAAGGTTGAGTGAGATTGGGCTCAACCTTCGGCCTCAAAGAATGCTCCTAGAAAACAAGGCCGAGAAGAAAAGGGCCTGCCAAAAATTCAGAAGAAGTAGAATGGTGAAAATGGCCCTGGCCCATATTAAATGGAAAGCAAGGCCCGTGAGCAACCCTGGTGTTTGGCATTTCTTTCTTTAATAATTTTTTTTTCTTACAATTAGATATTATAAGAGTTCTTAATTTTGCAATATATACCAGTTAAAAATCATTGGATGGTGGAAGCCCCATACTTTATAAGTCAATTTTTCATTTAATGATTTAAATTATATAATTTAGACTACGTAACACATTTATGATACTATTATTATCTTTCCAAACCTAATGTTGACTAATTCTCCTCAACCTTCCATCTTAGATGATATGAATTTGCCCTTTTTTGTTTCGTATGAATGAAATGGTATTAATTTGACTCCATGATTATATCATTGCTTGATATTTGTTTGGTATTGTTTGATTAAATTCTATTATTGTGAACTAATCAAAAGTTATTTGATTGAGCTGCTAATAAATTTCATTTTATTTTTATGATTTGTTTTACCATCTAACCATAAAAGCTTGACGAAAATAGGAGTTTTTAAAACTTACTTTTTAAACCATTTAAAAAACCACCCTAAATCAGTTATAAGGTAGAATTTTGTATGCCAATCAATAGAAAGTTAGAAACAAAGGGTAAGTTAATGCACAAACAATACCCGCACAGAATAGCTTTATGAGAAAGAACAGAGTTATTTGTATGGTTTAAACTATACAACAAATTATTAGAGGGCCCTCTTCCAATCAACCATTATCATTGGTAATCTAATAAAGTTAGGATTATAAGAACTCTATTGATAATGGGTAAAATCTATGTGCACAGTATTGTACTTTTCTTTTAATTTAGGGGCCAAGATGAATAGGATATTTGAATCTCTCCCTTAGTCCTCCCTTGTGCACTTTAATTTGTAGCCAGAAATTCTGTCATGCTTTCAAATTGCAGTTTAGTTCAAAAGAACTTACCTAATCTCAACCCACTGAACATTGTCTAGTGGGGGCCAAAGAAAATAAATATTATTAGTTAATTTGGTATCCTTGGATCCAAGATGAAAATATTCAAAGGCATTCAGAAAAAGTTTTTGTTTTTAGAATAAGCAAACAAAAACCCTTTTAAATTTGTAAATCCAAGAGTCATATTCAACAAAGAAGATGAGAAACTTCACCAACAAGGGTATGCCTGGCACCTAGTGGAAGACGGTGTGATCAAGAAGCAAAGCAAGAAATGAGTATCTTGTGCCAACATCAATGCCAAAACTGCAGGGCTTAAAAATCAAAGATTCATAAATCAAATCCAATAGTTTATTTTGTTTATTTATTTAATTTTATCTATGACTACAGGGTTTTCAGGTTAATCATTTTATGTATATCTCGAAATTAATTCTTTTCATTGATTAAAAAAAAAAATTCCTCCCTAACTAGGTTTAGTGTATTGAAAGAAAATAATATTTTTTAGTAATGATTCAAAACTTAAACCCTCCAACTGATATATATATATATATATATAAGCTGCTTACCAATGGTTATAACCTTATGATTAAATTCAACAATTTAATGAAACAACGAGGATTAATTGGCCATTGGAGTCAACGATATTTTGAAGCCGCCAGGGACTAACTTCCCCCAGTCCTTTATGGAAAATAAAATTTTCTTTGCCACCAAACAGGAAAAAGAAATGTCAATGGGAAATTAAGTTTCATGGACCCCTAGAAGAGGAAAGAAGGAATCAAAATTACACGGCATATTCATAATTGGCTAATTAGTAATTATTTTCATTTTCACTTTTATTGAACTGAAAATGATGCTATCACAATAATCTTTCTTAGCAAAAATAATTCATGTAGGGAAAACCTGAAAGCAAAATGAAAATGACTAGTTTTTATATGGGGCACATTTGTTTAACGATCCAATCATACAATGCCCACCTAAAAGGGTCACCATGAAAATAATTTCTTCTTCGAAACTCAAACATTAATTAATTACTGTTTATTATAATGACATATATAATAAAAAAAATTAAGAATTAATTAAAAATAACTCACCTTTTAAATTTTTTTTTACTTATTTTAATATTTAAATTTAAAACATTAACATAGATATTTAAATTTATTAAAACCTTATTGAGACGCCTTTATTGTCTGAATTGTAGGAGAGGTATGACTAATTTTCATTTTTTAGGAAAACCTTTCATGGTTGCATGAAAAACAAAAATAGTGAAATATGAAATGAAAATTAGGAGATGTTTTGTAAAGTTATCATAGTTGATATTTGTTATTATCAATAATTTAAATATTTTATTTAATAGAATTAAATAAAACTATTAATTATTAATTTTAAATTATTATATCAAATAAATATGTTACACACAACCCAACTATATAACTTAACATTATTAATATATATAACATTATAAACGAAAATTTCTAACTTGTGCTTTTATGACACAAATTAAACTTCATTAAATAAAGCATCTTCAATTAATTTACTATAAATTTTTATATCATATTTAATTAAAATAAAAAAAAATAAAAAAAATAAAATATTTGTACTTAAAATTTGTAAAAATATATGAATCTGATATGAAATTTTATACAAAATTAATTACAAATTTTATAATTAGTAAAACTTAACATGTAACTTAGGAGCATAAATTAGACAAACTCTGATATAACTAAACTCTTAAATAAAACAATTTGGCATGTAAAGTTTCGTATGGGATGGATGGACGGCCTTACAACATCCGCCAATGAGAATGAAGGGATGATGTTTGGGTTTTCCCCAAAGTTAAGGGATTTCTATGAATTTTTTAAAAAAATAGAGGATTGACAATGACACATTCACAAAGTTCGAGGATTTTTAACAACCTTAAAACTAAATTAAAATTAAATTAAAAGAACAAAAGGAGCTATCTTTCCTCTTCAGTCGTCTCTCTTTTTAATTGCCATTAGGAAACCCTTCGAAATCAACAATAACAGCAAAACCCATTAATTCCTTCATACATTCTTCTCTCTATTTAGTATTTTATTTACCCCCAAATTTTCAAACCGCACTTTCGACTCTCTTCTCTCCATCTTCTTCCTCTTCTTCTTCTTCTTCTTCATTTCATAGGTCAGTCAGATTCTTTCTCTCAGCTTTGTTTGTTTCTCGAGAAAGTGCAGTAAGTTTGTGTTCGAGACTTGGAAGTTCTTGTTTTCTTATGTTTAGTGTGGATTGTGTCGGTTGATGCTCTAGTTTTATGTGCGTTTTCCTTGTTTTTCTATGGATCTGCTTCGAAAAACTGTAATCTGTTTAATTTCGCTTCAGTTGGCGGGGATCGTTTCGATTTTATTGGATTTGGTGTTTTGTTTTCGAATGTCAAATGTAAATTGAAATTTAGATGTTAGTTTGCTTTAGCTGAATCTTTGCTTTGAACCTGATTCAGTTTCATTCTTTTGGAAACTTTTAACTTATGCTAGATTTTAGAACAGTTATGACTGGATGCAGTTGCGTTGCTGATTCTGGAAATGTTGTTAGTAAGGCAGATCAGGATCAGTTTGCAACAGTTTCTCAGATTTGAGTAAAATTTAGATCTTACTAAGTCGTTTGAAGGGCACATAGGGTCGAGATTAGGATTTAAAGTTTTGATCCCTTCACATAGATTCTGTATTTGTTCATCCAACTTTGATTTGAAATCTATAAGCTGGAGGCTTTTGATTTTGGTCATTCTTATGTTCAGATCAATCGTGTGGACCAGGGAGGCTTTTGATTTTAGTCATTGTACAGGCAGGTGGTGCCTTGGTTCTTGGTGCACAATTAATATTAGGAAAGCTTTCTAAGACAACATTAAGAGACTGATCTAAAGATGTCTAAAGGAAAAGGCTCATCAAACCTCATTCGTTTAATAATCTTTAAATAAGTTAGAAACATAAAGATTTAGTTCTATTTTTCTTGTTTCCCATTAAATGATTCATTGAGTTAGACATTAAAGAGAGGTTTAAATATTTGCACTCATTTTAGTCATCATTATTAGTGCATGCTACTGCATTTTTGTCTTCCTTTCATTCATTTATGCATTCCTTTTGGGCTTATCATTACCTTAATACTATATTTAACTTGGTCTTCTATAGAGAGAAATTGTCATAAAGTTTCTGATGTCTTCTTGAAATGATTGTACGAATGAGTTAGATGAGATTACATATTTATTTTCACAATTTGCTTCTCGTGTTAATACATCATCTACTGCCTTTTATTATTATTGATAGATACAAGTTTTACCTGTTCATTGTCTTAATTACTCTGCAACAAGGATACTTTGTAGCACCTTCTTCTAACTTTATGTTTCCACTTGATTTACGAATGCAGGAACAGCTTACCGGATTTTGACATTGAAGTTAACCTTGAAATTGGTTGCATAAAAATTTAGTGAAGACATTGCTTGATTATCAGAAACTATATGGCAATGTCTTCAGCAAGCAAGGCCGATAGGAAGGCAACTCTAGATGCAGCCTCATGGTTTTTCAATGTTGTCACATCTGTTGGTATAATCATGGTCAATAAAGCATTGATGGCTTCTCATGGCTTCAGCTTTGGTACGTGCTCAAGTATCTTATCAGCAACTTAGGTGCATTTAATTTGCATTGGATGTCTAATAGGTAGATGTTTTGTATTTTATGTATTTCTGTGTTCTGGATAAGTATATTTATTAGCAATACAAGATAACTGAGATTCAAGGATTACCCTTTTCCTGTCCCTATTGTTCATTTTAACCTTCAGGATGGTCTTAGACCTCAGTCCATGCTACCTGATCTCTGCTCCAATCATTGATCCGTATGTCTAGTCCCTGGATCAGGGTACTTCTATTTTAAGTGGTCATGCAAACAATTAGATCCTTAAAGGAACATATTTACTCCCTAGGCTAAGATCTGTCTAAGATTTAACTTCTTGCTAAATATATAGTCAGGATGGGAATAATTACAAACAATATTAAGAGGATGGACAGAATTTGAAGGGTGGATATGTTTATTTTATTCTCACAAATGTGGACATAAATGCAAGTTTGTAACCCAGGACTCTAAGAAACATAGAGCAATCTTCATTCTTATATATTCTTCATAAGTCATCCTCGAAAACTGTGAAGGATTCACTTCCATGACTGAACTTGGTTGTTGCTGATTCCCAAGACCTAGGAATCTGTTAATTGCCAAAGCCAACACCTAAATACCATTTTCCACATCAGAAGACCTTTGTTTAGCATGTTTTTCTTGGTCCCATTTTCTATACCATCCAAAAATGGTATTGTAAATTATTGTCTTTCTAATCTAGTTAAGTTGCTTCAGATAAAACACAGTGACTCATAGTAAAATCTACTATAGAATTTCAATTTCTGTTGGGCCTGATATTGTCTTCTCCATAATACTATGCCGCAGCTACCACATTAACTGGTTTGCATTTTGCAACAACAACCTTGTTGACTAGTCTTCTTAGATGGCTGGGGTATATTCATGACTCCCATCTACCATTATCTGAGCTTCTCAAATTTGTCTTGTTTGCCAATTTCTCCATTGTTGGAATGAATGTGAGTTTAATGTGGAATTCTGTGGGTTTCTATCAGGTCAGTTTTTCTTGCCTTATTATGTGATTTTATTTTCTCTTTTTTGTTCTAAGCTTTTGAAAGTAATGGTATATTTCTTCTTCTTAAATTTATTTCCAGATAGCAAAACTGAGCATGATCCCTGTATCTTGTCTTCTGGAAGTTATCTTTGACAAGGTTCGATACTCAAGGGACACAAAGCTTAGCATATTAGTAGTGCTTGTTGGAGTTGCAGTCTGCACTGTGACAGATGTGAGTGTCAACTTCAAGGGTTTTTTAGCTGCTGTAATAGCTGTTTGGAGCACTGCTCTGCAGCAGTATGTAAGTAACTCTATACCGGTGCCATTTGTATTGTAATGTCAGGTTCTTTGATGCATGCACATGATCAATTACAATTATTTTCACCTGAATGATGTGGTTTTATCCCTTTTTGCAATTTGCAGTATGTACATTTTCTTCAACGGAAGCATTCATTGGGATCTTTTGACCTATTGGGACATACTGCTCCTGTGCAAGCTGCAAGCCTGCTGTTATGTGGTCCTTTTGTGGATTTTTGGCTGACCAACAAAGGAGTTTATGCCTATGATTATACTATTATATCAGTGGTAACCTTTCTTATCTGAGTTGAATGCTACAAATTTAAAAGTAGTTTAAGTCCTAATAATGACATGTTCATTTTATTAAATGCGTGCAATTATCATGCCTTCAAATTAAGGGGACGTTAGTAGTTGAATTTTTTTCATAACCACTATTTGTGGCTCTTCAGCTTTTGTATAATGCTTGATGTGACCTTGTCATACCCATAATTGGCATATGGCATACCACTTATGGGTATATTTCCTCATATCAACCTATTCACTGTTGAATAGAAATCAAGAAGTCTTAAGAGCTTGGTTACCAGTGATGCTGCTTTATATGTACAAAATGACGTTTTTGTTGGCTTTCCAACTGGTTCCATGTAGGATGCATGATGTGGTCTGGAAGCAAGTGAGAATGAAATCTTATAGATTTACAATACACCTAATATACTAGTTTCTCAGGTTCATGTGCAAATAACTCTTTATATATTATCTAACCAAAAAATTTTCCCTAACATGGGAACACTACTGTTTTAGTAAAATTCCTCTGCCAGAGATAGCTATCTCATTTACCATTCAGAAAGCCAATTACTCATTCAATGTCTTTTGTTTACCTTCTTTTTGCAGTTCTTCATTGTCCTGTCGTGCACCATTGCAGTTGGAACCAACCTCAGCCAGTTCATCTGCATTGGGAGATTTACAGCAGTGTCATTCCAAGTGCTTGGCCACATGAAGACTATCCTTGTCTTGATTCTAGGATTCACTTTCTTTGGGAAAGAGGGTCTCAACCTACACGTAGTCCTGGGTATGGTCATTGCAATTGTGGGAATGATCTGGTATGGAAACGCTTCATCCAAGCCAGGAGGCAAAGAGCGTATCATCTATTCAGTTCCAAGCAACAAGGCACAAAAAGAGGATGGGTTTTCAGAACCGACAGAGGCCGATGAAAAGGTCTAGAAATTCAAATTCGGTAAAGAAAAGGGCAAAGGATACACAGAAGAAACAGAATGCACGCCATAGAATCAAGCTGATTCCAAGAATTTCTTTATACATAGAGAGTCATGATCATAGACTAATCTATCTTTTTTCTTCACTTATTTATTCATTTTCAAGTCTTTGAGATCTTTCTGGGAAAGATGCTATTGAGAGAGAGCAACTTCCTCATAAAAATTGCTTTGTTTCAAAAATAAGATCTTTATAGTAATTTATTTCCTTGAACCATTCAACCCCAACTTGTTCCTTCATAACATTCCCTCTCTCTTATCTGTAGATATGGCAGGTACATGTTATGAAGGCCTGAAAAGCACTTGGGGTGATCATATGAACTGGGCTTGTTTCTTTTCTTTGTGTCCAATTATTTATTTTCGGCCCTTATCCTGTCGGAACCCATTAAGTGTCTGTTTGTTTGCTCTGGTCTCTGGGAAGTTGGATCCTGGATCTATTGCTGTCTATGAACATTAATCGACTAATGTATGTTTTATTTTTTTGCCATCAACTTATGTATGTTTAGTCAACTAATAGAAGAATCCCCAGGCAGTCGAGTTAGCTAGTTGCTGAAATCTGACCTGCCTGGGCAACCGAACGTAGCCTTAAGGTGAAAGTGAAAATACAATGGATGGTTATTGCCAGGGGTTTTTATTTATTATTTATTATTTTATATTTTTCTCCAAAATTTTTGGAGTGTAGGGTATGCAAGGGGAAAAGTCTCTTCTCCCATATCTTTCTCTATTAATCTCAAAATGTGAATTTGGAACTTTCGGTTTAAAATCTCATGTTCAAACTATCGGGATGTGCCAGGGGGGACTGGTTAATTAGTTGTTCTCATTCCGATCATGTGAGCACATAAAGTAAACTACAAGCCAGGGTAACTTTGCATTGGTACTGGGGCTAACAAATGAGAGTAAAGTGTCGACTACCAGAAATTGAAAGGGCAGTTGATGATCTGATGTTACTGAGTCATGCAGGGGAAGAATTCTGAATAATTGCTCATTTGCACTCTACACTCCACGGTAGTTTGTCTTTCTGATACGTTCACTCTTTCTACTCTCCAGTGGTCCCATTCACTGATTCACAGCTTCTGCTGAAACCAGCTAAATACTTCAAAATTAAAACACAGGGAGAGGAAAGAAGAGAAAATGAAAATGCCATGCCTGTTAGAAAAAAAAA